ATCTATCTATCTATCTATCTATCTATCTATCTATCTATCTGTCTATCTATCTATCTATCTATCATATTTTTTTAAAGATTTTACATGGTTTGAGAAGGAAATTTAAAATGCTGGGGTCAGTTTAGCAAGCCTGAATTCCATTGATCAAAAGTGACAGTAAAGACTTTTACATTGATGCAAAAAAGAATCCTGAAAAATATTAAGCAGCACAACTTTTTTTTTAGCATTGATAATAATCAGAAATGTTTCTTGAGCAGCAAATCAGCATATTAGAATGATTTCTGAAGGATCATGTGACACTGAAGACTGGAGTAATGATGCTGAAAATTCAGATTTGATCAGCTTTGATTTTTTTTTGTGAGTTGTGAGAAAAAAAGTCAGAATTATGAGATAAAAAGTTGCAGTTAACTTTTATTTTTTATTTTTATCCCATGGCAAAAACAAGCTTGCATAGAAAACAGATATATTTAATTGTACAAATATTTCACAATATTGCTGTTTTTACTGCATTTTTGCTCAAATAAATGCAGCCTTAGTCACTATAAGAGACTTTTGAAAAAAAAAAGTGTATATAATGTATTTTTTATAAAAAAAAAATTTTTTTGAATATTATCCTTTATCATTTTTTATAAAGATTCTGCAGATTTGTTTTGTGTGTCCTCTATTTGTGAGTCTTGTGCTGGTTTAGAAACTATACAATGAGCTCAGCATAAAATCTGAGCCTGAGGATCACCTAATCCCTCAATCTCTTCATGAGCATTAACTGCTCTTTGAGCTTCTATTTGTGTGGCCTTTTCCTTTATCTAATATTCAGAGATGTGTCACTGTAACCCCAGAAAAACCTCTGAAGCCATTCTGAATGCATAATGCTGTCTCCCGGACAATTACGGTGTTTGCAGACAAGCAAGCGAGAAAGTTGTGCAGTAATTGAAAAGGCATTTGCTGGGATGACGGAGCACTTAATAGAACCGCCTCTTTAGAAGAGGAGCTCAAGTGTCCTCAAGATAAGACATGTCACCTGAGTTCTTTGTCTCGAGGGCTGTAGGACATCTGGATTGGCTTTTAAGGTCAGTCATGGGACAGGAAGCCCCTTTAATCCCTCCAGCTGTAAAGTGAGGAGGATATTCTTTGGGTTGCTGAACAGTAGCTGCACATAGTCCTGTCTAATCGCAGCACATCACCTTAAAGACTTGGAATAGTTCACATAAAATGAAGATAAGATGGCTTTGTCAAAAAGCGGGCTGAAATTTTATGCAAAATTCGATTCCTAAA